CCAAGTGGATCCCTTATAATTTAAGTGACCAAATCCGGTCCACCCTCATGAGACTAATTAAGGGGTGACGCACTCAGCAGGGGATTCTCCCATCACCCAGGACTCCAGCTGTGTACAGCTGGAAGCGGAGTTTTAGGGGGTTGGTTGTCTTCCTTTTTACCCTCAGTTTCCCAAAGCAACTTTTGTCTTTGAGAAGTTCCAAAAGAACAAAGCATACTATTCTTTGCCTGCTCACGATGAACTGGAGACTCGTCTCCCCGAGAACAGTTTGAAACAAAATGATCAGCATGTCTTCTCTTCCTTCCCATAGTGTGTGGTAGTAACTGACTTCCCTGGAAAGGATCAACATGGCACTTCTGGAACTCGAGTATCTGTTGCTTGCCCCTGAGCTCTTGTTACGTCGCTGGGGCTCAAATTGAATTCTTTTTTTAGGAAGAAAAGAGAAGAAGAAAGCAGTGATAGGGAATTGGTCAGTGCTGTCCAGAAACATGACTTGCTTTCCAAGCCCACAGCTAGCAATTAGGTTGGATGGCCTTGGACGAAGTTCTGGTCCATCATACCCCTAAATTGAAAGCCTGCAACCCAAGCTGGAGTGAAGTCAAGAGCTTTGACCCTGCTTTCAGGACAGGAAAGCTGAGCTCTGTCTCTGCTCCCCAAAGTCAAACTTCTGTTACTCAGAGAGAAACAGAGGGTGCCATGGAAGGGTGTCCTCAACTCTGGGAGATTCCCGATGAGGAGGAGGAGAAGGGAGGCACTGGGGTGGTGCAGTTGGATGGGTGGGCATGAATGCCAGTTCTGGAATGGAACAGGTTTTTACACCAGAGTATGGCTAACGTCAAGGTCTTACAGTTCCAATGTGATCGTTTCCCTAAGGAAACAGGGATTCTGTCGAGGGAGAGACTGGAAGTTGTGTGGTCCTGGGCATGTCCTGCACACCTCCAAGCCTCAGCTGCCTCATCTGTGATGAAGATGATGATGACAATGACAATGAGGAGGACCATCTTAAGGATGGTTTGAAGATTAAGTGACATAACATATGACAGAGAGGAAAATGCTTGGTATATGGTAGGTCCTAGATGAATTTTAGGTTCATTTTATTTCAAAAAGATTATAAACTCTATATGGGCATCAGTCTTCTATCCCTTTAATAGTTGCCGTAATTCCTAAGCAATGTCCTTTCTGCAACATCCTCTAAATGAACAAACTAACTGGCCAAAGTAAGACAGCAGGGGATTTGAAATGAAATGCGTCATCTTCCTCTACCTCCACATTATCACCAGTCACAACTGTTCAGAAAACGAGTCACGAGGCTGGCTCATCCCAGACTAATGTGGTGAACTAGCAACTGTACCTTCCTCACGCTTTCTTCTCTGTTTCAGGAACTGTCACCTCCCTTTCCCCCTCCACAGCCACCATCCCTTGTGCTAAAAAATACCTAGTAAGTGTGTCCTTCTATTCCTTCTGAAATCTCTCTCCTCTTTTACTTTCTTTCCTCAACAAAAGTATTTTTCCTTTAGGGTGACTTTGACATTGGGTTTGGAGGAACACTGACTCTCACTACGGTGGGTGGTTAACATGGGCTGCCACTGGGGAAAGGCTTCCTTTGATGGCCCAGAAGAATTGGTTAAATGGAAGTGGCAGATACAGGCTAGTGAGATGTGGGGTGATCTCATGGGCCAGCAGAGATTTCCAGCCTTCTTTCCTAACTGGGCTTCAACATGTACGTACCTAACATCCGGGCTTCCAAATACAGAAAGCAAAAACTGACAGAACTAAACGAAGAAATAGACAAATCCACAACATAGTCTCAAATCAACAATTCTCTTCAAATTGATTTAGATGCTTAACACAATTTGGATCAATAACCAAGAAGAGTTTTTAGTTGCTAGGAGAAAACTGATTCTAAAATTTTAATGGAAAGGTAAATGTCCTGGAATAATCAAAGCCATTTGGAAAAGAAAATAAAGTTGGAGGAATTACACTGCTCAATTTTATAAATCAATATAAATTACAACCACCAATACAACGTGATATTGGTAAAATAACAGATCAGTGGAGCAAAATCTTTTACTTTCAATCTACTTATATTATTATATCTGAAATGTGTTTATTGTAGAAAGGATATAGTTGTCACTTACAAATGTGTTCTAATAATCTTGGTCTTTTAATTACTATGTTTATACCTTTTACATTTAATATAATTATTGATATGTTTGAATTTATGTCTATCATTTTATTATTTAATTTCTGTTTATTTCCCTAGTTTTTTGTTTCTCTGTTTTCCTTTTCCTTCCTTCTTTTGGGTTATTTAAGCACTTCATTAGTCCATTTTGGTTTATCTGTTATGTTTTAACAAAATTGGTTTTTCATTTGTTTGTTTTAGTGGTTGCCCAAGGGATTAAAATACAGCACACGTGAGCTTTCACTCTCTTCTTAGAAGCAATGTTTCATCACTTCAAGCGGTGTATAGCTACCTCACCACCATCTGAGGTCCCCTACCCTTTCTTTCCCTCTCGTGTTGTAGTTGACTTATGTCTACCTACATAAAAAGTTCCATCAGAAAATGCTATAATTTTTTTCTTCCAATGGATTGTATCCTGAACATTTTAAATATTGTATTATGCAACTCTGGATCTTGTGGAAACCCTATGTAGAATGCTATTTTGATTGAGTAGGCAACTGACCCAGTTGGATCCAAGCCTAAAATTCTAACCAGCCTTGTGGTTTCAACATCAATTCCATTTCACTGTCCTTCAGTTCTATTTAGACTTGTCCCTGGGACTCAGGAAGCAGTCTATCTTATAGTTGAATTCTCAGAGTTTACGGTATTCTGTTTAAAGTCAACTTCACCCATATGCAGCTTGGGGATGAGCCCAGGAGTTTTGTAAGCAACTTCATGGGTTTGCTTCCCTGATCCACTCTCTGTCTGCATCTCCAAGGTACTTCCCAGCTCTGCAGGCCTCTTACCCTCCTCTTCGCAGTCCTCTGGCAAGAATGTTGGCACTTGACATACTGCACTCTGCAGTGCACTCCCTTCCACTGCTCCCATCTCCCAGCCAAATGGTAAGAGGAAAGAGAGACCAAAAGAAAAAAAAAATCAATAGAGATTTGTCACACTCCCTTAAGGCCACAGCCCCTTGTATCAAAATGGACAATTCCTTTTTGGCAGAGATGCAGGCCCTTGAAGGCCCCTCTTGTCTCTGCTTTTGTTGGCCCCACTGCCACTGTCTCAAGATTGCACGGGGATAAAATGTAAAAGACCAAACAAAGGAAAAAATACGGGACTGTTAGGAAACTCCCTTCCCAGCCTTCCAGGCAGCACTAGAGGGCTTTTTGTGGAATGCTTTCTGTCATCACTAATGCCCCTCTTCTGGGTTTCAGAGTGTGCTGAGTCTAAGCCAAGAGATATTGGAGGAAAATAAAATCACGGAGCTTTGAATTCTTGTCTTCTCCAATCTTCCTGCTTTGATGTACTTTTCAGATACATCAGCTGCTGGTTTTTCTATGCATTTTATTCAAATTTTATAGCTACAATGAATGGAAAAGGGAGGCGGTTGTGTGTTTATTCCATCTTACCTGGAAGTAGTTTATTTAGTAAATATGGGTACCAAAACCCAGACGAGACCAGGACAGCTGTGAGATCTGCCTGAGATGTCATCCAGAGTCAGCAAGGGCTATTCCGTGATGTGTGTTAGAGGTAAGACGATCATCATCCAAAGTAAGACACATTTTCAGAAGGTGAAATTATACTTGGACTTTGAAAATTATACCTGGGCAACAGATATGAAACAGGACCTGAAATGTATGGATGCCTTATTTAGAAAGTGCGGTGGGAAGAAATATTCTTTCTCATTGTATTGCACAAAGATCAGTTGTTTAATTACCGTCAGTCTCCTGTCTGTAGAACATCTGTTCCCATTGTCCACTCTTAATCAATTTACAGGTAAGAAACACCAATAAACCTTTACCCTGGCTGCTTGCCATCACCTTCAGGGTCCCCGCTCACCTGGAAGGGCGTGCTCCGTAAATGTGAGACCTCTGAGATAGTCCCTTGTGTGTGTGTATGCACAAATCTGAGGGTCAGTCTGAGATTTGTCTAAGCTAGGAACAAACCTCTGGACCTCTGGATAGATCACTTCCAGCAATACTTATTTTAGAATAAAATAAAAACCTGGATAAACTGGCCAAAAGAGGTTTCTGTGTCTTAGATCTTTGAGAGCGGTTGGCAGGAAAACCAGGGATTCTGGTCTTCACCAAAACACAATGACACAATGACAGTGTGGATTTCTCCCTTCTGAGGCCCTGCAATGAGCCTCCCCACAAGAAACTTCCTCCAGGAATAATTTATACCCTTTAACTCATCTTTAACTTTATCACTGAAATTCCCAACAAGGATGGTGCTCAGTGCCAAAGCCACAGTGGTTCTTATGATGTGGGTGCCTCTGTGAAAACAGAGCCCTGAAGCCTTCACACGGGCACCCAGCAGAGGCCAGATGACAGGGCCTTAAGCCGCTCCAAGCCCGCATCACATTCATACCAGTGGATACGACACATTACGGGCAAATGAGTCCAGAAACTGCTTTTCTATGTTGCTCAGATTGGGTCATCCCATTCTCTTGGGGAAGATGGAACACAAAGGTTATACATTCACATATGACCAGAACAGTATGTTAACTGCAGCTTGAACTCGCATGGGGCAGGCACACTCAGGAGAATAAACGGAGCGTGGTCCATCCGGAACCACTGCTCGGTGCTCCCGCCTCCTGCCCATCACTTCGGAGAAGCTCAATGAGACCAGTGGGCCAGGAGGCACACACAGGCCTCCAGCCTGTACAAGCAAGCGGCTCAGTCTTCAGCTCCGCTCAAACCCCAGTCTTGCTGTCTTTTCACCAGTGTACACGTTTATCTCCCAGACGCTTACCAGTCCTCAAGGGACTCTTCCTCACAGAGAAGCTCCTGGCAAAGCTTAAACCATTAGTTTCTAATAAAGTAATATTTATTTGATTGCAAAGATATATAAAGTTATGTGTACAATACTTAGTAGACAAGACAGTCCAGAGCCACAAAGCCAAGGGGCTGCATCTGCTGATTCCACATAGATGACCAGGGAAATCTTAGAAGCCTCACAGGCTGAGTGTGTATAAGAATCTGGAGAATTCGCTCTTCCTCTGTCCAGTCCAAGGAATCAGAGGCTGCCACCATAGCTCCGGTGTCTTTCCAGGGCCTGCCAAGCCTGCTCAGGGCTGGAAGAACTCTTTTCACTTTCTATCAGCCTGGTCCATGCCGTGTGTTCTGTTCATCGATGTCTCTGCTCACCTGGGATCTGGGGGAGGGGCCCAGGGCTCGCCTCGCCTGGGATGGTGGGGGGGGGGGTTCTGGGGCTCATCCCCCCATCCTCTAGGCTGGGAGCTCCTCCCAGTGGCTTTTGTTTTCCTGAGTCTTTTCCAGAGAAAAAATTCTTGGAATAATTCTGAGCTGGTCCCACGTGAATCCTTTAGAGCTTTTCACGGGCATATGATAGCGCATTTGGGTCCAGAACCTGGAATTGGGAGGGACCGATTTTAAGCCCCTCCACGTGACTGTGGGCAAAACCCTGAGAGCTTTTTTCACTAGATGAGGTAGACACTCTGGCTCTTGGAAGGGAGAGAACTTAATTAAAATCAGTTTCAGTGTTTGGTCGTCCAAGGCGAGATTCACCGCTGCTTGTAGTTCAAAGATCCTGGGTCCGTTGACATAGTTGGGGCTCAAGATAAATACTCCTCTCCTACTTTTCTTGATCACGCTCACAACGTCTTCTGCATATGCTGGGGACAAAGAATTTAGTTATTTGCAATTGTTATTGTTAAACTTTGAGTCACAATAACCCTGAATCTCCCAGATCCCTCCAAACGGTTCTTTGCAATAGACATTCTTAGGCCACGAGGAAAGGAGGCCTGCTTTTCTCCATCACTCCGACCAGATCAACTCTACCAACAGCTGAAGACAAACTCTAGTGTCTAGTGACTCTCAGTTTCACCTTCCTCCCCTGTGTCCTGTCTCCTCAAATTGTCAGTTCCTCTAGGAGCAAAGCTCATTGGAACAAGGTTGGCTGGGATAAGAGAGGGGTGTGGAATGTCCCAGGATCCTGGGTGGGGACACCTGTGGCAGAGGAGGTGAGCAGGACAGGATGGGGTCTGCACATCTGATGGGTGCCCAGGGCCGGGCCCAGGGAGTCTGTTGGGCCCAGTGCCGAGGCTGTGGCAGGGAGAGTCCCAGAAAGGGACTTCAGGGGACTGTTTCCGACTTCCTGCAGAGGAACCAAAAAAAGGTATCTTCATTCTGGAAGGTTCCCTGGGCCCTTATATATGTATATTTTTCTGAAGAAGGATTGTTTTAATGATGGCATTTGTCTCTGCAGCACACGCTTCTCTGTGTTGTCACCCACGGAACCTTCCAGAAATAAATCATCCACCAGAAAGAGTAACAGGAAGTCACAGAGAGTGCCTGCGTGTGCCCCTCCTTGTTCTGTGCTCTCCGTCGGCATTCAGAACCTACCTCCTCCTGGGACCACGTCTCTTTCAAGCAAACACAAGTTGTATCCATATTTGTTTTCCAAAACTTCAGGGAATAGATTCAGAGCCAGATCTTCCTCGCTCAGAGACGGAGTGGCCTCACTCTCCAAAGAGCTCAGTTTCGCATAGGATACGAAAGCATCAAACTCCTTTTTATCTGCGGAAGAGGAGCAACAGAAACTGTAAGGCACGGGCACCGGTTTTACTCCCGTGGCGTACCTGCACCCCCTGAACCAGATGGCAGACGGGTAAGAATCAAGATTTGGGACCATTACTGAACTGACTTAACAAACAAAAAGCAGTGTCTGTGTGCATTTCAGATCCACACTGCTGAGTGGCACTGACTGTCTACCCAGAATCGGGGTCTAATCGATGGGGCTCTCCTGCATGTTTCCCTGAGGTCAGATCAAACAGCTGGACCTCCCCTGATTAAACCACAGGGCCCTGGAGTTCCTCTGGGCTTTCTTGGCATCCTCATTGTTTCTGTCTCATTAGCTGCACATCAAAGCAGAGCCCGCTCCATCCCCGCGTGCTAATATCCAGTGAGCAAAGCCCGGCGAAGACCCAGCGCATGCGCGGGCTGAGGGCACATGTATCTGAGTCCCCACGTGTCAAATGAGATAATAATAACTTCCCAGCGGGCTGCTATCAGGGTGGCCTGGGATAATGTGTGGAAGAGCTCGGAGTCTGCCTTATAGCACAAGATAAATGTTCATTCCTTTCCCTTCTAGGTAGAAAGCTACATTTTGGAACTTGTTTGGGAATATTTTTAAGGTTTCATATGCCTCTGTCGAGTCGACTATTTAAAATGCACGTGGAATCTGGGATGCGCTAAAGAATGAACTGGAAGTCGTAGAAAAATCTCAGAAGTGGACCCATGGGCTCGGGAGCTGGGCACAGCTGGCTCAGCCTCGAGCACTTCACACCACGCCTGGCAAATCGCATCATTACAGAGCCGTGAACAACAGGGCTGGTTACTGCTGCAGCTTGGCAGGTTGTTCAACGTGGACCCAAGGAGGTGCCTTCGCGGGTGGTAATGTCAGCAACAAAAAAAGAAGAGGGAGTGGAGGTGATCTGGAGTCAAGAGAAGAGGATGCCAGAGGGTGGGGCCCGGGAGGCTGGGCCACGAAGCTCCTCGCTGCCCAGGTGGGGAGGAGGCCGCTCTGGGGGCGTGGCCAGCAGGTACCTGCCGTGCAGCTGAGCTGTGTGACACACCGTGGTCACCTTGATTTTTAACCCCCACATCTCTGTGACACTCCAGCAAACTAGGATTTTTCTATAATCTGAAAGCATTAGATTTCTCTAGAAATAATATTTGGGAGTGGGAGAAGGAGGTGATCTCCACCATTCTGGCTTTCTATGTCTCTCTAAAACTTGGGACAGTCAAAGGAAAAGGTCTTTGTGACTGAAAAACATTAGATTGGACACAGAGTGCCCTGAGTCACTGGGTTCTGCCTCCCTCTCAGGTTACGAAAACGCTGTCTGTGCAAAGAGAAGCAAGAGAGGACACATTTCAATTTCTTCACGGTTGATGGAGTCTTCTGTACAAGCCCAGGAATCTTAAGATAGGTAGCATTTTGGTAAAAGAAGTATGAAGTTGTCTAGGGGAGCAATTAAGACAGGGGTTAGAGAATTTGCTCAATTCAAAAAAGCTAAAAAGCTGTTTAAAATGTATCTTGGAAACACTCTTGGCTTAAGGACTTCTAGGATATATTTCTCAATAATTGGTCTAAAGAAAAGTGTGATTGATGCATTTCTCCGTTGTCCTTTTCCCAGCGATCTTTCGGCTCTTCACTGAGATCCTCGTGTGGGAAAACCATGGGCGTGCTCGGGGCATCCCAGCCAGGGACGTGCATGTCCCCGGAGTCCAGCGGAAGGAATTCTGCTCCTTCCAAAGCAGTAGAATCACTCACTAAAACCGCAAGCATCCCACCTAACCTTAGAGCCTTCCAGAACTAGAAAGACACACAGGCAGCTCTCTAGTCTAAAGAAGTGAATGTAAAGAATCGGCTATTATCCCGTCTCATGAGACTATTGACCAGTACCTCCTGGATGGTAATAGTGCTTGCATTTTACCCAACTCCATGCTTTTAAGGACATGTCCACCATCTCCAAGAGGAGATGCAGAAGAGGCAATAGCTACTGGGGGCTTTAAACCAAACTGCCTGGGTCCGTCTCTAACCCTAATACCCATGATCAGTGCCCTTTGGGGCACAGGATCCATGTCTCCATCTGGCTGGTATGGTGTGTGTGACAATGACAGCAGCGAATCCGGGTGCCTGGCAGCACTCGGTCCTCAGACCATTAGAGCTGGCGTGCACCTGCTGGACCTGCTCTAAGCGCCCCTCGTGTCTGACTCAGTGAGCCCACAAGCACCCACTGCGACTGGGATTAGGGCTTGCTTCACAGCAGAGAAAACTAAGATGCGGGGAGGTCAAGTCATCCGTCCTATGGCTCTAGGCTGGTGAGCCGAGGGACTGCCCTCAAGTCCAACGTGTCCTGCAGTCACACCGTCCTCAATGTTCCTGGCGACTGGGATGAAAAGAAATTGTTCCTCCACTGGGCTCCCTCCCTCCCAGGTGGGAAGCCACCAGACCCGCAGGAAGATCTCAGATGCTGAGGGGCGTGACTTCATGCATCAGGGAACACCCACGTCTCAAGCCCTCTCTCCCCCCTCTGTCAGTTCCACGGGCAAAGTCAGAGGCCAGGCGAGCTGGGTCTTCTCACCCCCGAGGGTCTCGTCCGTGCTCTGGTAGGTTCGGTACAGCAGCACCAGCTCGATCCAGTACCTGCAGAGGAGCGCGCCTGCGGCCAGCGCACCCGCCAGGGACGTGACGGTGCCGAGGAGGATGTAGAGGAACAGCACTGGGGGGGACAGAGCAGCCGTGAGCAGAGGCAGAGGCAGCAACCACCCCCCAACCATCAACGACCGTGGCCAGGCCAGCTCTGGGGGCTGGCCCTGTACCTTTTCCAACCCCGTTATTTTTATCAAAATTACTGCTATTGGAAACATTTTTCTTGAATCTAGAAACATCCTAAATTACATCTTGGGGGAACAATCTCAAAACGAACCCGAGAGAACGCGGGGAGAGGGGCAGTTCCCGGCTGGCCGGGGAAACTGCTGAAAGTCACTTTAACTTATTTTCCCCAGGAAACTTCCAGGCAACCTATGTGCCTCACTCTCACTTCATGTTGTAAGTCATTTTCACATGTTATCGACCCCACTGAAGACTAAACTTCCTGAGACCCAGAACCACGTCTGACTCAGGTGCTCACCTCTGCGGTAGCTAACATGCGGGAATTTCTGCCCACCCCCACGGAGCATCCACGAGGGACCAGCCATCAAGTGTGGCTTATTTAAGCCTCCCAAACATTCAAACCCTGATTGTTCTATAATCTCTATCAATGGAATGAATGAATGATACCCCCTTCGTCCCTGATCATCTTCTCAAAAGAAATTTAAATCTATTCCTTCCCAGGAATTTCCACTCCAGCTTTAAAATCACTATGATCTGTAATATCACTCTGAAACTGAGCAAGGTTACTTCCTCCCCTCCACTCTCCAACCCTGGGCAATCACATTCTCTGGATTTGGAAGCCACGAGAGGAAAACAGAAAAGGGAGCGAGGTCTTAGCGCAATACCTGCCACACAGGACATTCTCTGTAGGTCTTTGCAGAACGAATGAATGGTAGACAGCTCCCGTCAACAGAGGATTAGTTAAGAGGACCAGCCCTGGATCGCTGATGTGAAGCCCACCAGGTGTGTGGCTTTGGTCAAGGTGTTGAATGAATCAGTGCAAGCAAAGTGCTTACTTAGAACCCTGTGTGGCGTCTGGTGGATGTTAGCGGCTACCATCACCATGACTACCCCCTAGGGCAGTTCCCCTCCTCGCAGGTCAAAGCAGTTGTGCGCATTCTCAGCGACCTCCCAGGCTCACCTCCTTTCTTTTCTTTTAGTTGGACGGAATGGGTAGTGTTCCCAATGGAGTTCTGGGCAAAGCAGGTGAATGTCCTGCGGAGATCACGCTGAGTAACTTCTTTCAAGAAGACAACGCGCTCTATGATTTCATCCTTTAGGGTGGATTTAATGCTGGGAAAGGAGAGGAAACACCACACCATGTAGTAGCATAGATTGACGCCCGTTTGCAGTATTTGGAGTGGTCCCATTTGCGGAATATGCCATGTCTACACAAGCAGCCTGGGTCGGTGTGTCTGTCTGCTCGTTGGCTTGGTGTGTCAAACTGAGCTTCAAGACAACTGACATATTTCAGTCTATGGTCCTGTCCCAAACTGCATGTGGCCCCACGTTTAAAATTAACCCACCCTCGGTATTTCTGCACTTTTATTTGCACCACTAGTTGGAGCTGCTGTCTACACTGTCAGCTCCGTGTGTTCAGTCAGCTATCTGTGTACATTTAAGAGGTTTCTAAAGGTGAGAGCATCAGTGTGAGTTGCAAAAAAAAAAAAAACTTAATTCGCTAATTTTCTTCTTACCTTTTCTCCTCAGGCGCTGGGACTTCCCACTCCTGCTCAGAATCTTTGATGTACCATCTTATCACAGGTTTAAAGTTTATTTCGAAGCCAAATCGTGCTGTGCAGTTAAGAGTTAAAGGCTCTCCTGAAAGTGAAGGGGTCACAGAGGAAGGAAGGAAGCGGGTGAGAACGCTCTGCCCTGCGCAGGAGGGGCCCCCCCACCTCGGAGGCCGGCACGCTCACAGGTGAAGCGGCTGTGTCAGAAAGACCCAGACGTCTGTCTGTCTGTCTGTCTGTCACTCAGGGATGTTTGTCTCTACCGGGCAACACTGAAGCTCTCAAACCTAAGACTGTATTTCTTAAAACGAAGGTGAGGATGGTCATAGCACTGAGGATTCTGATGCGGTTTAAGGGGAAACACCAGGAAAACGAGCAGATTCCGTGACGAGGCTTCCAATGCTGCTGTTCAGGTCGTACAAGGTGTGTCCATAAAGAATATTTTACTAACCCGTGTTTGCCTGTTAAGTGATAATCCTGAGGTTTCAGTAGCATGTGGTTTAGAGAAGTTACTTCAGTTTTCAGCTGTATTTTGAACGATGCGCTATGGACGGGCGCGCATGTGACTCCACTACCCGCTTTCTGCCCATTTTCTCTGCCATTTTAACTGTGAAACGGTTAGAGACTCCGTTTGAAAACTTATCTTTGCACCTAAATAATGCTTCCTCCACGATAAGACTAAAATTCACTGATACGACAGGTAACTTGGCTATTTTTGAATTAATTAGTTTTCTCCCTCCTTCCTTCCCTTCTTGCGACGTTCCCCGTATCGTAATTATTTCTGTTTCTACAATCAGGATACGCCGCTACCGCCACCTAGTGGTCTCTTACCATAATCCTTTTTTTCCCCCATTTCTTGCTGCCAGAATAAATACCTTACTAACATTTAAAAGAACACATTTTACTGAAACAACCAGCACTTGGTTTTAAATAGAGCAGTTCTTATTCGGCTGTGTGGGGAGATGTAGATGTTACCGAAGCTGACAGAACGAAAGGGGACCACAGAAAGTGACTTGTCCCCTGTACCCCAAAGAAGACACTGCTTTGGAATACAACTTATCTGAGCAGGATTTGTAGTATTGTCTCACAGGTACCTTAAAGTCCAGACCAAACCCTGTACTCACAAAGGTTAGGGCTACCTAAGTCACATGTATAGACTTAACCAATGGACCTAACCTCCCTTTTTGGGCGGAGTCAGGAAGAACCTCAGATCTATCAATCGTGCCCAGCACACCAGTCACCTAACACACAGCATCCTGTATTTCTCAGTGCAAGCTGCTGAGGTCAGCTCTGTTCTACCCAGTTACAGATTTATAAACTGAGGCTTTGAAAGATTAGGTCACTGCATCAGGTCACAAAACCAGTCAATGTCAAAGTCATCGGGGGAGGGGGGGTCATACCACCCACCTTACCCAGTTCTACTTCCAGTGTGTCCTTGACAGGGTCCAGAATATCTGGTTTGAGATTAGTGTTCTTCACTAAAAGAAGCAAACAGAAAGCATTATTCGCATTGGGAAATCTGAAGGGCTGAGTGCTGAAGACTTGAGAACATGCTCACACTTTGATCTAGATGTTTTAGACCTTCTTCTTCATATTTTATCCAGAATTCACAAGGCTAGAGGTTTGTTTCCATGTGAAAAGCGTGCCTTCAAAGGTGACTGTGACATCAGGCAGCAGGTGCTGGCAAAATGTGGGTCCTTGACAAACCCACATCCACCGGGGTACGTTTTCTTCCACACTAGCCCTGCTCACCGGTTGCAGACTCGAACCCCCATCTCTGTCTTTCTTTTCCTTCAAGATTGCTTTTCAGTGCCGTCTGGCTAAGTAGTCCAAGAAGGAGAACCCACCTGACAAAGGGCACGGGTAACCAGATCAGAGTCCACCTCTCCATCCTCAGATCCACGGTTTGTTTCAAAATAAAGGTGAGCTCAGCCCTCCCTGAATCTTTCATCCCTCGACTTCCCACCACAGACTTTCAACTATGCCTCCATAGTTGAAGGCCCAATCGTCCTGAAAGGCCCATTTCCTAAGAAGGGAAAATCCATCATGTCTGCCGGCACATCATCCTCTCTCACTTCTCGGGGAACCCCTTCCCTCAGTTACACCTTCCTCCTGTATCTTTGGCTTTCTCTCTGTCCTTCTCCACATCAGCATTTATCCACACTCGGTCTCTCCATCTTAAAAAAGAGGAGAAACCCTTCCGCTCACATCCCTGCCTCGCCCCCTTCCTTCCCAGCCAAGTTCTTGTGAGTGCTGTGTGTTCGTGTCCCCCCTCCCCTCACCTCCCGTGGAGTCTGACTTCTGCCCCCATCACGCCACTGAGACTGCTTTGGCCAAAGTCACCAGGGACCTCCTTGCACCCAGGTCCACTGGGCACCGCCGAGTCTTTAATCCACTTCCCAGCTCAGTGGCGCTGGAGGCTGCTGGGCACGCTCTCGGGGGATCCTTCTCCTGACCTTTCACCCTGGGGCTGTGTGCCCCTCCTCGTCTGCGCCCCTTGTGAAGTCGGTGCCCCTCCAGTTCTGTCCTCGCTGTCTTCCTTCGACTCCCGCTCCCTGCCGGGCAGCTCGCTCTCCAGGCCTCTCCCCTACGACAGGTCTCCGCCCCTGAAATGCTCTCTCTCCCACATCGCCAATTTCACTTCCTCCCCTGCTCTCCTCCCCACCCTTCCTCTGGCCCCCACTTGCTGATAAGATGACAACCTCCCTCTTCCCAAATCCCATGACCCGTTCCCAGGCATCACTCCCTCCTCCTTGGGACACGTGACTGCGGAGCCCTGGGACAGTTCTATGTCCTCACACACCTGCTCCATCTCCTGTGGGCTGCTCTTTCTCCCCGCGTCCCCAGGTGCTGGAAGCCCCCAGCCTCAGTTCCCGCTCCCTCCTGTCTGTACTCACTGCGCACGTGACCCCTTCCCCTCGGCTGTATGTGTGCCGGCCACCCTCACGATCACAGCTCTGGCCCTCGAGTCTCAGGACTGGTTTAGCCAATCCCCACTTGTCACTGTGGCTTGATGACTTCAAGTCCTCTCTGGCCTACCCCTGAGTTTCTTCCACTGAGAATTCTTCTTTTCATTTTTTTTCTATCTCCTTCCTTACATGGTTCCAGCAGTTACCAACTCATCCAGGCCAGAAAGCTACACCAAGTTTGAGCTCCCTCTTTCTTTCATCTTCCACAGTAAAATCCATCAAGGTGTCGCATTAACACTCAAACAAAGCCATTTCTAATCACCTCTGCGAAGTCTGTTCAAAGAGTCACCGCCTCTCGGGGAGGGAGGGAAATGGTAGCTGTCCTGATGGTGGTGGTGCTGTCATGGGTGTAGACCTCTGTTGAAATTCATCAAAGTGTACCTCTGAAGCATGTGTCGTTTACAAGAATCATACCACAATAAAGGTGTTAAAAAGAGGAGCGACCAGAGACATCCTTTAAGAACATGAGTCAAGCCCGCTGCTCCCCCACCCGCGCCCTTCAGCAGCCCTTGCGTGTCTGCCCTGATCTGTCCTGTCCCTCCTTTTCCACCCACCCTATCCTGTCCTTGCTCCGTGTGTTACAGAAAGCCCACCGAGCCGCCCAGCTTAACACCTGGCTCTCATCCTTTTCCCTCTTCCTCACTCCCAGTTCCCAAATCCTTTCATGTGTAACTTCCTAAATATTTCCTGAGTTTGTTTACTTCCCTGAATCCCCTCCCCCAACCCCGCTGCCCGGTCACTCCTGGCTCAGGTCACCATCAGCGATTGCCTGCTTGACCCCCGGTAGCCTCCTTGTGCTTCTCCCTGCCTTCATTGTTGCTCCCCCAAATCCATTTTCTACACAACAGTGTAGATGTGCTCCATCTCAAGTCCAGGTCTGTTCATGACACTCTCCCACTTAGAACCCTCAATGGCTCCCCACTGTTTCTCAGACAAAGTCCGAAGTTACTGGAACCATGTAATTTTTGTTCTGCTTCCAGAAACTCACGCTCACCTGACCTCTTTCTTTCTGAAATGCCCTGTGCTCTCTCATCTCCCGGAAATTAGCTATGCTGTTCCTTCTGCCTGGAACAGCATCTTTCCCACCTCCACTGGGCTAGAGTGCCCTCACCTCTGGGTTCTCACTTGGACTCGGTCCACTCAGGCTTGGGTGTGGTGGGGCCCCCACGTGCCCACTTCTTCCCTCCCTCTCCTGTTCATCACGCTGAATTGTGATGCCCCACGGGATGGTGCGTTCCCAGAGGCCAGCGAAAGCATCCAGGTATTCCTTCTTACACCCTTAGTGCTGGGGCCTGACGTGTGTCAGATGTTCAACAAACATTTGTGTAAGAGTGAATGCATGAAAGAATGAGTGAGCAAATAAATGGGGAAGACAGGAATGATGACAGAGAAGGCTTGATTGAAAATGCCATGACCGGCGTGACAAGGCGTCCTCTGAGAGGGAGAAAAGCAGATTCTGCTACTGAAAATTTGAGGGGGTGAGTAATCCTGTCTGAGTGAAAGGGCGGTCACACTGGGAGGGGGCAAGTGGTCCTCGTAGGGTGTTTGCGGTCTAACTTCTGGCCCAAGGAACAGTCTAACACAAATTTAAATTGCTGGGATCTGAAGTCATGGGGAGCAGGGCCGGGAAGTAGGCAGGGGGGCCTGACTTGGTCTCAGCGTGCTCCATGTGGTTTGCATCGTTCAGTGAAAGAAGAGGAAGTAAGATAAATTAATATACTTACTAAGAGCTAAGTCAGTCATTCTACATGGTTATGTTTTGATACAGGCCATGCTTAAATTAATTACATCGTCGAGTTTATCCACGCTAACATTAGTAAATCTAATAGGAATGAGCCAAGGGAAAGACTGGACCAAAAATGGACAAGTCACAGAAGAATAAACCCAGTGGGCCAGTAAACATACGACAAGGTATTCAGCTTCGTTGGTGGTCGGGGAAATGTAAGCTGGTATGGATGGAAAAAGGGATCCCCCGACTTGACACCAGTCAGAAGGTCTGAAACCACCAAGTATGATTTGGGAGCAATGGGAATCTGGTCCTTGCTGATGGGGGTGCAACTAGCAAGGCAATACCTAAGAACAATACCGTATGTGTTTATCGCACAAGGCACGTTTTATGACATAAACAGAACAATATTCTGTTTCATTAATGGACACACACATATGGGGAAAACACATAAGAACATAGACAGAAAGAAAATAAGCTAAGAGGGGACCACGTTTGTGAAAAGAGGAAGTGGGAAGGGCTGAGGGCATCAGCCTCAAACGTATCCGTAATGCTTTGTTTCGTTAAAGAAAAAGTGAGACTTTAGCCTGTGGAAAAGCCACTGTTAAAGCTGGTGGTAGGTATGTGGGTGTCACAGTTCTGGGTGTGAACTATGTAATATTTTTAACAATCATTAGTTACAATGTGTGAAATGGTTAACATTGCTTATTTCTGTGCAGGAATATTTAGTCTTGTTTTTTGAATTTATCACAAAAACCAACCAGGGATCGAAGCGTGGGAAGCGCAGCTTGTGACAGCTTGACCGTGATTCAGAACTAGGCCTTCCTTGAAGGATGGAATCTAGATTAATGGAAAAACTGATGTTCACCAGCATTCCAGTCTTTACCACTAGGTATGGCTGTCCCCTTTGTTCCCTCCCGAAAAAGGAAAAACACCATGAAGACAAGGACGATAACTTAAATTAGGCAGCTGGGGTTGAAATCTCAAATACTGCACCCACGATCTCACTCACCAATGGTCTTCACTTGGACAACAGCCCTGACTGTCCATGAACTTGCATTATCCGACCGGGTGTAATCACACACGTACGTGCCCTGGTGGTAGTCGTAGATTTCATCCACTTCGATCGGGCTGCGTCTTTCTTGGGGGAGTAGTTTTCCATTCTAACCCAAGAGACAAGAACGTTAAATAACATTCTTTAACTGGATAATTGCTCTTGACATGAAACTCACCTATAGAAAAACTGCATGGGTTTGGGCCAGGGAAGGGAAGGCCAGTCTGCTATAAGGACATTGCAGAGCATAAAACCCCAAGCTATAAAAAGATTCTACTCACAAACCATGTCTGTTGGATTCTTCCTTGAAGTCAGAGGCATTTTCAAAGACAATTCCCTTACATGTGGCAACCAAGACACCAAATTAGATCAGCCCACCAAGAGTTGTTTAACCTGGTATTTCCCAAGGCATGACTCAGGCCCCAGGGAATGTTCTAGAAAGCTCCTGGTGTTCTAAGTGAATGATAACTAAATGATTTTTTTAAAAGCATATATATTTGTATTTCTGGAAATTGACATAGATTTCCTGTGTATGGGGCCAATATAAAGTTTCCTCTTTAAATACATTTAACTCTCATAAAAGAATAAAATTTAAATCAAAAACATTAAGTCGCAGCTAAACAGATGTACTTAAATTTGACAAAGACGAGCCGATGACTGAGGAACAATTGAGTCAACTCAGAGTGGACCCCAAGTTGAGAACTAAAATTCAACAATGACGTTTCTCTCTCTTACTTAGAATTTCTCAGTGGCATCTCTTTGCCTGGAGGATGAAGTTCAAAATCCTTCACAGCCTGGTCTTGTCATTGCTTCCCAGACTCATTTCCTGCTGCCGTCCCTCTGCCCACTTGTCATTCCCTACATGACCCTGTTCTTCCTCAGTCCACGCAGTCACCATCTCCCATCATTCTTCCCCACCGGGTAGGCAGCCGCTCATCCCCCAGTTCCCATTCATGCAAGGTCATTCTCAAGGAGACAAGTTATCAGGCGCTGCGCGAGCAGGCTCAGCCACACCTGCTCCCAAAGCAGTGAGCACGACCTCCATCATGAGCACAGCCCTTCTATGCTAGTGCAGTGAGTGTCTCCTCTGCGGTTGTGGAGGGCAGCCTTTGTGTCAAGACACGTGGCAGGTCCTGGTCGCACTAGGAGGAACAAACATAGCCCCTGCTCTCAGTGCGTTCTGTCCAAGAGCGCAAGTCTGAGCCGTGAGCCGGAGTACAAAGCACGCAGGTGGCTCTGGCTTAGCTCACAGGTGGCAGAGATGCTCCCCCCAGTCTAATCAGAGCCTCAAAGAACATGTAGGAATCAGTCAATGAAAGTAATTGACATTTTAGGAGCACTTGAAGCAAAGCACGTGTGTGGGAAACAAGGCCACGGTGGGAGGGCTGATGCACGTGGCTGTGTTTGCTCTTCATGTCCTCAGGAGGCAGCGAGCAGGCCAGCAACAGCAAGGTCTTTGTAAATGATGGGTGAGTAAATGCAGGTGTAATTGGAAGAAAGGTTTTGAAGCATGAGAGTCACATGAGCAGACATTTTTAGAACCATGACTGGCAGCCAAGTATGGAGGCTCCTGTACATTTAAGCAAAGACTATCTTGATCACCTCTGTATTGGGAGGGCCTAGGACATGGTAGGGGCTCGGTAATATTTATCCAATGATGGAGTATGACTGTATCATTAACCCTGTAGCTGCTAACCTCCATGTAGCACTTCCAATTTCCCACTAAGTACCAGAGGCATGTCTCTCACCACTGTAGTTGAAATAAAAGAGATAAACAACAAAATTAACAAAATAATAAAAACCAATTACCAATCCAGATTACAAAGTTCTTTCTCATGCATTATCTCCTATGCTCAAAGGATTCTCTGATTTGGCTGGTATACATTCTACGTTCCATTTCACAGATGAGAAACAGAGGTTCTGAAGTTTGTGTTTGGCTCTATGTCATAGAGCTTGTGAGAGGCCTCAAAAATCAATCTAAGTTTTTCTGACTCTGAGTTTCATGTTTTGATTGAGGAATTTCCCTTCCACTTTGCCTGCTGACTCGAAGAAGCAGGAATTCCCCTACTCCAAGTCTCTGGTGTGGTTCCTGTGGCCTCAGAGAGAATTTCCAGTCAGTTGGCAAGGAGTCTGAGAAGAGGGTCAGAACTGGTCAGGGCGGGGCAGCTGCAGATAGGAAGTCAGACAAGGCCAAGAAGTGGGACAGAGCAGGCTGAATATCTATCAGCTGATCTCAAGGATCAAAAATATCTTCAAATAAATCTTCAGAGCCTGGGGTAAACTCTAGAGAATATGGTAAAAACATCCAAAGAACAGAAATTGGAGTGGGTGTGTGTCATCAATCACACAAGAAGGTGATGCAGAGGAGAGGATACAGACTTGTCACCAGAGCTAAAGGGCCAGAGGGAGAATGAGTAATAACAAAGTGGACCTGATTTTTTTCTTTATGAAAGAATAAGCATGGCTTAGTATGTATCATCACGACTTTATGGGATGGAACTCAGTCAAAACATCAAGGAAAAGAGATGGGGGAAGGAATTTGTGCCAAGAGTGATGGGAAACCCATTCTAATAACACAATCACAAATGACCCTAGTAGGAAAGAGAGGTGCCCATGGGGCTGCACGGGAAATTCTTTCTTTTGCTCAGATGTGAGTCAGTCCTGCACACAGGATGGAAGGAGGAGCATCTATCAGTGTGACCGCAAATAAAGAGAGTGAGTGATTCCTAAAGGAAAATGACGCATGTGATGACATGTGGACGGCGGCGTTGGACAGCTGTTGGGCAGTTGTCTAGGGTTATGAGAGTTCTGAAATTTCACACTGAGGACAGTGGCTCATCTATGGACCTTGGAAACTGTTGTTAAAAATCGAACCTAAGCCATCTTTACCTCTTCTCTGCCTGGAATCTCATTAACCTTTGGTCTAGCCAGTCTCACCACCTTCACCAGTTCTCCACATCACTGGACTCACAGAATGCCAACAGTTACTATGCGAATGAGGCCAAAGGAAACGAGAAGAAGTGGCAGGTCTATGTGCAAAAATTCCATGGAACACAGGGCTCAGAGATGACCTGGCAGCCACGTCAGCACTGTGGTGTGTGACTGAGGCTGTCTCAAACCACCAATGGAAAAGTCACTCGGGGCACAGTCCTACAGACAGCAGGTCATGGCAGTGTCACAGACACACACAGCTCAGGGCCCCAGGCCCTTGCAGGGGAACGTCTTCCATTCCCCTGCATTATAACTTTGCCTCATGTCAAAGATTCGCTTAAAGAACACAAAATACCCTCTGGTGAATGCAATGGCCTCTCTTTAAGATGAAGTCTTATGCCAAAGATATTTTTCATTATATTTTTATAATGAGAAAGAACAGATAATTCACTTTCATTCTGACTTCTTGATCATTAAATATTTCAGTTAAGAATCTCCAGAGACTCCAGCCCATGAGGCTTATTTCACTTGGATGTTCTATACAGCTGGCAGGTGTGTCCCTGGCCCACAGTTTCCTCCGAATTCATTCAGTAACACTGTGTTTTCATCTTCTCAGCCAGTGTTAGTGTCATCTGCTCTGAGATAATTGGGGGAGACGCACCCACCACCTGAGTACCTGAGGTTTAGCACGAAGGAAAGGAGCCCTGGGTATTATTTCCTGCCCAATGTCATTGCTTTTAGTGACACCCTGCTGCCATGAGGTCTGTGACTTTCCAGGACCCTGTGTGTATGTGTGTCTGTGTGTGTGTGTGTGTACACACGTGCACACACACGCAATTCATGAAACATAACCTAAATGATGGACTGTCCAAATTGGAGTCAGAAGGTACAATTTTCACAACAGCCATTGTTTGCCTACTTTGAGACACATGCCTGGTCACCATTAAGAACACCTTGATGTTTGCAGTCAAGGCCCCAGGGAAGTGAACTACAGCTTCCTTTTGCAAACGTCGTACCATGTTAGGGTTCAGGTCACAAGAGCAGTGTGTGCAGACAGCTGGCAACTCCTGTGTGGCTTGTGCATGTCAGAAAGTGAAAACAGCTTCCATCTCAGGGACACAATCACTGAAAATTCGAATGCATTTTCATTTTAAATAACTGAGCCTGCTTTCCTGGGCTGGGAACAGCCTATTCTGACATAGCAAGACATCTGCCATCCAGACTACAAATACTTTCAAACCATGGGAAGTTTTGTTCTTAAGAGAGAACTGAAAATAATGAGCAGAGCCACTGACTCTTCTTGCTAACCTCATTTTAGAGGTTATGAAATTAACGTGTTTCTGAAATTCAGATTTTATTGACTGCAGCGTATTTTCAGTGTCATTTTAAAATTCAAAGACGAGGCCTTAAGCACCTCACTCCCCCTCCAGGTACGCTTATTTCTCAGTGGACGTAATAGCACCTGCTCACCTGTGGTCACTGAATCTCAAGAGAATCAGGTGAGGACACGTCTTCACACCCCAGTAATTTCACCCCCTGAGCCCCTGATTGTTGAGTCTCAGAGCACAGAAAGCCAACAGGTAAACACGGGCCACTTTCTTGACTTTGGTCAGTGGGAATTTAAAATGATATTTTTATATAAACAAACAGATGTATTTGGAAGTCAATTTAAAGGTTTGCATGGTTTTTTTAAAGCAAAATATTGGATGTCAAACAATTCTTACACGTGTAGGAGGTAATTTAAATTCTGTTCCCAGACTTCACCGCCCAAGGCTCAGCTGACACAGGGTTGACTTTGGAAGAGATCCTTACGCAGCACCCGTATCTGGCAGGACTCAGAAAACTTGCGAAACATGATGAAAACGTGAAATGTTTTTGTTTTGAAGTTCACTGACATGCGGTTCATAAGTAAGAATCATTTTGAAACTTGTCTTTTCCCAGCTTCCTTTGTTCCCTTTTTCTCTTAGCACGGCACTCCCTCCCCAACGTCTCACCTGTGCGAGACACCTGTCACCCGGGCCACCCTGTATTTGCCTTCACTGTCTTCCCAGATGTGTCCTCTTTGGAAAGTATTCCAACCTCCTGCTTCTTTCAGAAGCCCTTCAAGGCATACTCGTTGGGCGTTCCTTTTGCCTCAGCCAAGTGAAAATGAATGAATCTGGTCTTCTGCATGAGCAGGTGTTTGCAAGCTTATGTCTTGGCCTCGCTTGTAATATACTTGAATTTTAGAAATGTTTCTGGCACGGATAAAAGGACAGTTCTAATAATCAGAATATCAGAGCCTGCAGCTTCCTAGGGGAAAGATTGCTCTAGAAAGTCGAGTCTTCACAGGCATAGGGCCGGTCTCTGGGGAGCTCTCGGCCTCAGATTCAAGCACATGTTTCTATCAAATATGTATGGGGACGTTACTAAAAAATCCATACCCTGGCATCAGCTTTGGAGAGGTCATTCCTACCTGGTACCAGGTCACCTCTGGACTCTGTGCATCACTTTGGTGGCTGAGACCGGGGCAGTGAATGGAGTCCGTGCTGCCGAGAAGAAGGCTTTGCTTATATGACACGGGGCTCCCACAGGATATGTTTGTCTTGGGTTTAACTTCTAAGATCATCTTGACACAACAGGCCTCGTCCTGGGGGCTCCTAGGAGAGTTAACAAGGTCCTGTGAACAAGGTCCTTGTTATACCCAGATAACAAAGGATTTGGGAATGTTTTCAGATAGGAATGTATTTGAGACATACCTAATCCTAGGTCTACAAGTATATGACCCAGCATCCTTCATCCCTGTGGTCAAAAAATGAAGGGCTCTTCTGTCCTTGATGATGTGAGGATAGTTTTGAGTAATTTCTACCAGTGGACCTCCGTTCTGAGGTTGTAGATACCATTGGACATCGGACAGGTTCTTACTGCCTCTGCAGGGCAGGTGGTCAGAGCCTTGGGTTGGTGAGAGTCGACTTCTGTAGTAGAAGTGGGATTTCCGTGGCTCTGGCAAATCACAAAATAAGACAGACTCTTCCCCACACCTGGCAGCGTATGTCCTAGGAAGCGTTTTGGTGGAGCAGTCTGAAAACCACGACACACAAAGCAACACAGAAACACATTAGAAAATGAAACTCATAACTTGTATTTGCAAAGAGCACTTGGTTTAACCAGGGATGAAGCTGCCTGTGTGTCTTCTTCACTGTTCCCATTTTGTGGGGAAGAGAAGTTCATATTCTAACTCGCCCTGGACTTCAGCATCACCGGTAGCAACAGAGATTTCCTGTTAAAGATGGCCAACTCACCTTTCATTCCTCACCTCTTTCCACTGAACAGCCAGCTACAGTAACTGGGCTCCCCATCAATGCCTGGCATCAACCAAAACCTGTTCACCCCAATAATTTCTCCTCCCACCTCCATCTTGGTAGTAGAAAGGAAATGCTCTGTATGATTATGTCATGCTGATGTATCAGAATACCTGTCCCTTTTGAGCGTGACTGTAAGATCCACAACGTTAACATGAAAAGTGGAGAACCCTACCTGAGATGTCAGGTCCTTCCAGTCTCCCTGACGCGACAAGCCAGAGAAGCATCCAGCCCAAAGAAAGCATTCTTCTCCCCGGGTCCTGTCATCACTTCAGTACATTTGTTCTGGTCCCAGAGGAGAGGGCCTTGTAACTCAGAGCTCCACCCTGAGGATCCTCTTCATTTCTGCAAATCAAGAAATGGGAAATGAAGAAATCAGAACCAGCAATCAAAACGCAAGTCACACAGGAAGCTTTGAAAGGGCACCTACCCAGACGAGCCCTCCCATGCCCACACTTAAGTGGTATTTTCAACGGCGTGTGGCAGCCACTGCACGTGTCAATTCTTACACAACTAAAGGAGGGGGACCATCTCAGGCTCACGGTACCTTTTGCACGTATGCTCCACATGGTGTGTTCTTTGGGCACCATTTCTTCATGGAATCCCCTTTTCTTCCTTTTCTTGAAGTTCTGACCTAGTACATATATTTTTGTGAGTAATTTGGAAAGAGTTACATAAAAATTTTTCCCCAAAGATGATCCAAGTTGAATGAAAATGTCAGACCGAGTATGTCTATGCTGCTACCTTGCCATAAATGTTAGCAAAGAGGGGCTGTTTGACTCTGCGCTCAAGGGTCAGTCATAGTGTGGAGAACCATGTTAAAGAAAAAGTTACTCTGACACTTGTTAAAACAGTGAGGAAGACTTTTGTTCAAGGCTATTCCAACAGGGGAGAGAGACCAAGCTCAACTCAGAACACAACAAGGACCGGCGAGGATTTGGAGTTGACCAGGAAGGTGAACCTCAGAGGGTGGGAAATCACAAAGCGGAGACGTCAAGAGCAGAGGAATTCTGACTAAAGCGTCCAACAGGATCCTTGCTAATGACAGATTAAGGACTTAAATAGCAAAGGTGGGAGATGAGGTATCAAATAACAAGGATGGGAGGATGACTACGCAAAATTCCCTGCTAAGACTGGACTGGGCAGACCAGTCAGGGTGAAGGCCAAGGTCGAGGCCCACCTGAGAAGAGGTCTCAAGGAGCTTGATTAAAATTTGATGAGGAAAAGAGTCTTTGTCAACACAAGCAAGCAAATAAACAGTGACAGGAAAATGCAATGAAAAACAAATGCAGTGATAACAGAAAAGAAAAAATTAAAGAGGGAAGGAAAGGGGAGAGAAAGAGAAGGAGGGAGGGAGGAAGGGAGGAAGATGAGAGAAAGAAAGAGAGAAAAAGAAA